CCTTTTGCCCCCAACTGAGGACTGACTCGCTAGAGTCCAATCCATATCCTATGCCCTTCCTCATTCCATGAGGGACAGTAGCACACAGGGATAGATTACTCCGTTTTCTGCTGTCTTGTTTCTTTGTCTGCATGCATTGACATGAGGGGTAAACTCAGGATCTACTGCTTAGGATGGGTGGAGTAGGCTGCGTGGGGGTGCTTGAGGACTTGGAGAACCTTTCATTCCTCCTAGGGCCTGGGCAACTGAACCTGGGCTTGGTGCAGGGGGCCTGGTAGGGGGTATTTAGGAGAGGTGAGCCTGGGATAAGCTAGGGTGGGGTCTGGCCGGTAAGTGCCCCCACTCAATGCCACAGTGAATCTGTGGACCCCAGTGAGCTGGCTGAGGATGGCATTGACTCAGCCCCTAGCCCTTGGACTCAAGTCCAAAAAGCCCCATATCCTGTCTGTCTGTTGGCTTTTCTCAAACCTAGCTGAGCCCTCCTGGAGCTGCTGGCTAGGGGGCTAATTTGCCAAGGCTGGTTTCCAGACAGGGTGGAGGTCTGGAGTGCAAGGAAGGCACAATGAGGCTTCTTGACATGGGGCCTCGGAGCCCACCATACTTACAAGCCCAGTTTAGCAGTCAGTAGACTGAAGACTAGCACCCAGCACCCTTCACTCACAGGCCAGCCCCAGCCCCAAGCTGGCTCTACAGCTCACTCATTCTTGGCTCCCCTACACTCAGGGCTACACCCCAGTGATAATCTCTTTCCACCCTGGGCTCTTGCTTATAGGCATGCATATGACCAGTCCTGTGGTATCTCTTGGCCTTCCCCTCAATCCCACCTTTTGTGCAAAGCTCCTCTGGTGATTGCAGGGCCCCTCAGCCCAGCACCTCAGCATAGCAGCACCCAGCACCCCACTTTCATCCTGCTTGAATGGATTGGATCTTCCATTAGTCTCTGGGAAGGATGCAGAGGTGGTCTGGCCCCAACAACTTCCTAAGAGTCCAGGATAGGGAGAATGCTGCTTGCTTTGCCCCAAGGCCATGGGTGCTGGTTCTCTGATCCTTTTTACAGAGGCCAGCTGAATGGATCTAAGGCAGGGCGATAAGTTGACTTTGGACCTTGGGCGCTCATCTGGCCTTTCTGAGTCTGCGTACTTTCCTCCAAAGTGATGACAGTAAGAGCCCCTTGGGCCAGGGCTATTGGGACTTCTCGTTTTGTAGGTGGGGAAACAGAGGCAGAGAGGAAACGGCACATGGCCCAAATAGTACAACTCCTAAGTTCGGCCAGAGTCTGGTCCCAAGCAGTCCAAAGAGTTCTGAGTCCTCTCCCCTGCTCTTAGCTTTCCCCAGTCCCCTGAGCAGGAACAGGCCCAGTTATATCAGCGAGCTTCAGAGCTGGGACAGCTGAGGGCCCCCTAAGCAGAGCCAGACATACAGACACACAGGACTCATTTGGAGGGCGCCAGGGAGGTAGGAGGAGAGAGTCCACTGGAGGTACACTGTGACAGCCTGCTTGGCCAGTGCCAGGCTGCCGGAGAGCTGGCACAGGCCTGTAGAAAATACCAGCCAGCCGGGTCCTTGGGCCAACTTGATGTCTGCTCAAGACCCACAGACATCATTTCTCCACCCAGCTCCACCCAGGCAGTCTAAGAACAAAGACTTGGGAGTTCGAAGAACCCCTGGTAGAGCACTCCTCTGGCTGTTGAGCACCTCGGGCTAAGGGGATGTGGCCTGGATCTAAACAGAAAAGCAACTAGAGGGGTTATGGCAGGGGTCTAGGAGACCGCTGGGACTCTGGAAGTGCAGGACTGATACCCAGGACACGCGTTACCTAAAATGGCAGCCTGCATCAGAGGATTCCCTGGCAGTTGTTTGACCCCCGGCAGCACCTGTGAATTCGAGAGGACAGCTGGAAGCACAGCCAGGCGCCTGTGGGCAGACATCTCCCGCACCAACAGCTGCGCTGCTGCTCCTCAGCTGCCCCTTCCGCCCCGTGTCAGCCACATCTGAGCTTCCGACTTCCCTGGGCTGCCTTTGGGACACCTTCCCAGACATTACCCAGGCACTCACAAATGGGCAAAGCTGACCTCTGTTAACCTCTTCTCTCACCCACCTGCCAATTATTAGAATTTCTGCAACTGTGAAATATGATATACACAGAGAAGCATACACGAGACAGAAATATACAACTTAACAAATACTCAAACACTATGCAACTGAAACAGAACGTAGACAGTTCTCAGAAGCGTCCATCATGGTTTCCTTAGGATCTCCAGGATTCCATCTGAGACTATCATTTTCTCCTCCCCTTTCTTGTCTTCAGTTCCGTTTGTGATCCCATCTGAGTGAGGGAATCTTCCTCAGAGTCTGGGAGGTGTGTACAGCTCTGTGGTACTGTTGTAACGAAGTGTCACACTAGGTGTCTTGGATGTGGGGGTGAGGCTTGTGGTATCTAGCACCTGGCCCAGGTTTGGAGGCGTCCAGTGCAAGAGTCCTGGTGTTTTGTTTCTGGTGTTTTGGTTGTTGAGACAAGGTCTCATATTTACTCTTGGCTGGCCTGAAATTTGCAATGTAAACCAGTCTGGCCCCGAACTCTGAGAGACTGACTTGTCCCTGCCTCTGAATGCTGGGATTAAAGGCATGCACCACCTTGTCCAGCTAAGAGTCCTGGTTTTGATCCCTTTGGAAACATGCCTCTGTCTGTGTCACCAAAGTGTGATTCCTGACTTAAACAGCTCTGCTTATGGTCTTGACTGATGCAACCCATGTTTGATTTTGTATCAAGGGGAGAGAAGTCTCTTCCACTAGAGCAGTGGTTCTCAACCTTCCTAATGTTGTGACCCTTTAATACAGTTCCTCATGTTGTGGTGACCCCCAACCATAAAATTATTTTCACTCCTACTTCAAAACTGAAATTTTGCTACCATTATGAGTCATAATGTACGTATCTGTGTTTTCTGATGGTCCTAGGTGGCCCCTGTGAAAAGGTCGTTAGACTCCCCCGAAGGGTCATGACCCACAGGTTGAGAACCACTACACTAGCGGCTCCGCCATCTAACCCATAAAAAGTGCTAAACCAACCATTCCCAGGGTGGTCCTCTGCTGCTACTTCATGCATATTTCACTTTCTAAGCCAAGCTTTGACTTGCTGGCCTGCTGCTTCTGTTCATACATTTTTTTTCTTTTTTAGCAATGAGACCATGAACCTGGACAGGAAAGGGCTGACCTCTCTGGTCAGCATCTCCTACAACCAAAGCAGTTCACATGTATTTTCTCAGCTAGTGATCATTTCTCCAAGGAGGGAGGAGCTATTCATTTTACACATGTGGAGCCTGGCAGAGCAGTACTACAGCCTTTATTTCCCTGACACAACATCTGCATACTTACCTGCAACTTCTACTAATTCGTGTTTATTGCATGTGTAGTGCAGCGTTTCTCTACAGAGTGAGATGTTTGTTGAAGTATGCTGCTGAAATGAAATGTTTATTTATCCCTGTAATGCTGAGGATTGAACCTGGCTTTCACACATGCTAGGCATGAAGTCTATGACTGAGCTTGACAGCCTAGTCATTTTACTTCCTTCCCCATTTCCCTCAAAAGACAGGGTTCAAGTTGCTAAAACTGCTTCCCCTCCTTTGAGACAGGGTCTTGTTATGTAGCCTTGGCTGGCCTGAAACTTCTGATAAAGACCAGGATGGCCTCAAACTCAGAGATCCTCCTGCCTGGTTCTCCCCAGATCCCCAGTGCTGAGATTACAGATCTCCACCACTATGCCTAACTTTCATTTGTTTGTTTGATTGATTTTGAGATGGGATCTTGTTATAGTACCCAACTGGCTTCCAAATTCTGGGTTCACATTTTTTGCCTCAGCTGCCTCTGAGCTTGGGGTATAGTCATGTGCCATTGCATTGGGGTTTTGTTGGCGGTGGTCTGTTTGTTTCAAGCATTATGAATTAAACTTTGAGGAGTGGACAGTTGAAAGTGGGTGGGGCCAGTTGGAGAGGGACCTGTCTGGGGTCCTCAAGGAGGACTAGTCTGAGTCACAGGTGCCCTGGCTCTCAGAGACGCTAAATCAAAGTTTGGGGGTGGGATGCACCCTGGCTCTTGGTCTTTATAGCCACAGCTGTGTTTGGTCTGGGCCTAGATTTCTCACTTCTGGATTAAATAAAGGTCCCCTTTGGGAAGAAGCAAGCTCCACGCCACGTTTGTTCTGCGCAGGCTTTCTGCTAACCACTTTAAAGGAATCATCCTAGGTTCATTGGCTCACTTTTACAAGAGAGGTGACGATCTGAAGCTTGGAGATGGCTGTGCTGGGATCCATGACTGGTTCTGTCTGGCCTGGAGCTGACCCCAAGGCCTATCTTTTTCCTTAGGCTCATCATAATTTTGTTTTCTTCAATATGGTATTTGTTTTGTTTAATATGGTATTACTTTTTCAATTATATGTCTTCTGAAATAATAGCTTTCCTTTACACAAACATTATTTGAAGGCAACTTTATTTAAAATACAGGCAGCACAGGCCCTTGGATCACTTCTCTCCAAAGGAAAGCTTGTGCACAAGGAGGCTCCAGCTTCTTAGAAGAGGCGCTCCCCATCGCTCTACTAGTGTGATGAAGATCGGCGTCCGAATGTGTAAGATGATGTGTAACGCTCACTTCCGGAGGAAACGCCACTTGGGTGGAGGGCCCTGCCTGTCCTTTTATGGATTCGAGAATTAAGGCAGCCCAGAGACGGTAGCGAGTATGGGAACCAAAGTCTGGAGGCCGACAAAAGTCCTCGGAATCCTGGGGGAGGAGAGGATCGCTCCCACCTGGCGTCCAGGACTAAGAATTCAGCTCCCCATTCAGCAGCAGGGCCCGAAGAGGTGCGCCTGCGCAGTGAGAGCGCTCGGCCAGGCTTCGGGGGCGGGGAGGCCTCGGTGCGCACGCAGGACGCGAGGCGGAGCCCATGCCGGAGCCCGACGGGCTGCGCCAGGCGGGGGCGGGGCCACAGGAGAGCCTGGGCGGGGCCTCGAGGCCGGTTTGGAATTTTTGGCGCGAGCTGGCTCCGCGCGCGTTCACGGGCCGTTCCCCTTCGCAGAGAGTGCTTCGTGCCGGTGTCCAGAGGCGCCGCTGCCCGACCCCGGCCTGCCCGGCCCCCGTGAGGCCCGCAGCGGCCTCCGCCGACCCGGAACCTGGGACCTCGCTGCTGCGCCGCGCCCCGCCCCGCACAGCCTCCCCAGGTGAGCCCACACCCGGGTGAGGGCTCCGGGCCGCGCCGCTCTTCCGCCCGGCGCCCTGCCCCGCGCCCCCGCCGCGCTGCGCCCCGAGACGGCCCTCGGCCTCCTCCCGCAGTGGCCCGTCGCCCCCCTGCAGCAGCCCCACCCCTCCCTGTCCGTCACGGGCCGCCTGGCCCTCGGGTGACTCCGGGTCCGCGTTGTCGCCCACGCCCCGCCTACTCCCGCGGACCGCCCTGGGTGACTGCCTGTCCCTCTCCACTGGGAGCCCCTTTTCCATCACTGCCTCTCTTTTCCCTCGTCTCTCTGGGAAGAGCCCCTTCCGGGTGACAGCCGGTCTACGCAGTTGTTTGTCAATTGCGGATTGACGGAGCGAATTCAGCAGCAGCCCTACCCCGGAGGAACTCACAGTCTAGCGCTAGACGGTGATCAACAGATGTGTCCAGCCCAGTGAGAGGGTGAGGAGGCCCCTGGAAACGCGGAGGTCACCCTGGCTGATCAGTGGCTCCGGGACACTCTGGACTCAGCCAGGTCTCCACTACCGGCCCTTCTCACCCCATAAAGGCTGTTTGACCAGGCCAGAGGTGTTAAAACGTAAATGACATTGAGAGGGGCCGGTCTTCCTGGCTGGCGACAGAAGGTGATGGGTTCCCCGATGCTAGGCATGGAGACTGTATTTCTTCTTCCTTTAAAAAAAAAAAAGAAAAGGCCGGGCGGCGGTGGCTCAGACCTCGAGGTCAGCCTGGTCTACAGAGCGAGATCCAGGACTGGCACCAAAACTACACAGAGGAACCCTGTCTCGAAACCCCCTCCCCCCAAAAAGAGTATTTCTTTTTGTTATTTTTTATATGTATAGGTATTTTGTCTGCACGTGTGTATGTGCACCACGTTCGTGCCTGGTGTTCACATAAGCCAGAAAAGGGTGTCAGATGTGTGCTGGGAATCAATCCTGGGTCCTCTGGAAGGGCAGCAAGTACTCTTAACCACTGAGCCATCGCTCCCTCCCTTCAAGGATGTATGTTTAACCAGCATGATCATGGATCCTGACAGTCTGGTTCCTCCAAGAAGACCTTTTTTTTTTTTCCTTTTGGGGTAGGGACCTGAGTGGTAGGCCGGCACTCTATCACTAAGCGCATGCCATCTCTGGGATGGGATTCTTAAAGTAATGAGAGCCATAATAAGAGAGCCTTCCAGCCAAGCAGCTTAATTTAAGTCCCTAACCTCACTTGGCTAACCAAGTAATTGGATCTAGCCACACTCTCAGCTAGGTGTGGCAAATTTTGATACATGTGTTTCCCCCTAGTGGACTCTTTCTTTCGCTTTCAATTTGTTTTTGTTTTTTGTTTTTTTTTTTCAATTACAACATTGTAGCAACCTGATGCTCCCCTCTGCCCCAACAGGCACACGGTTACTGACACGTGGTACCACTGTACTTGAGTCATTTCAACTACTATCTAAAGCACCGGTTATGATAACAGTTAGCCAGACACCAGTCTTAAATCCTTCAGCTTTTTGTAGGCCAGTGCAGAATTGCAATTCCACAAATTCCTGATGCTAGGTGCTCTTCATAATTCAAAATATCCCAGATTTAGGGCCTGGGATTATATTAATAACTCTGTTGATACAGCATTTACCTAACATGAATGATCCCTGAGTTGGATACCCAGCACTCCGTAAACTGTGTGTGTGTACATGCCTGTGATCTTAGCATTCTGGAGATGGTGGTAGGGGGACACAGTTATCCTTGGCTGCACAGCAAGTTTGAAGACAGCCTAAACTAGGGACCCTGTCTCAAAAAACAAACAAAAATAAATCTCAGATTTAGAAAGGTAATATTGTCTCATATTTAGAAAGTACAGATGTAGGGGTAAGGATGTAGCTGTGGTAGAATGCTTGGCTGACGTGTTAGGCCTTTGGCTTAATTCCTAATACCATAAATGTAATAATAGCTTTTTTTTTTTTTTTTTTTTTTTTTTTTTTTTTTTTGGTTTTTCGAGACAGGGTTTTTCTGTGTAGCTTTGCGCCTTTCCTGGAACTCACTTGGTAGCCCAGGCTGGCCTCGAACTCACAGAGATCCGCCTGGCTCTGCCTCCCGAGTGCTGGGATTAAAGGTGTGCACCACCACCGCCCGGCCTCTAAGTTTAGTCTTATATGAGAGTTTGACTTGGGGGGTGAGTTCTGAACATCCACATGAATTATAGGATCAGCTCTTTCCAGGCTGTCCTCTGAACTCAGAGATCTGCCTGACTCTGCCTCCTGGGGTGCTAGGATTAAAGGCGTGCACCACTACCACCTAGCATGCTCATTGTTAAGGAAGCCAGATGGGTTTCTGACAGGGATTGTACGGAATCTGCAGATGAATTTGGAGAGGTTGGACAGGGGTTTGTTCTCTGTGCTAGAGAAAGGCTGAGCTGAAGGTCTCTGAAGGTATAGTGCTTTAGGCAAACACTGTACCATGAACTATGCCCAGTTCACAACTTTAAGACCATTGCCATGAACATGTTTTCCTTTTTATTTAAGTCTTTAGTTGTTTGTATATGCATGTGTTCAGGGGCCTCTGCAACCACCAGGACCTGCAAGGGGTTAATCTGTGTGAGACAAGAGGGAAATCTCGTTCAGCACGACTCAGGAGCCGGTGTTGGTTCAAACTTCTAGAGGCTGACGCGGGGCAGTTTACTGGAGGCATATTTAAGTCCAGTACAATTTGGGGAAATGTGTCCTGCTGTAACACGATCCCCTGTGCACAAGGATAATCAGATCAAAACTCTTCTCAGTTCTATTGATAGTCTACTTGTGCTATCTTAAGGCCTAGAGGAGGACCTGGCCTCCGTCATACAGATAGTGTAGAGGTCATCTCGGCTATTAGCCACCTCTGGTCCTGCTCATGGGAGCTTGGGGGAGCCAGGTATGGCCTAGCTGTATAGATAGCATGGGGTTACCTAGGCTATTCCCAGCCTTCTGGGCAGAAGAGGTTAATATATCTTTTTTCTTTGAAAGGACAGTCCTGTGTATTTAACATTCCTGGTTTTCCTAGTGCTATTTATGAGTACAAAGACATTTGTGCTCCTAAAACATGTGTCTGTTTTGGTTTTGGTAGTAGGGATCAAAGCAGCCTAGCACATGCCAGGGAGGTACTCTACCATCAGTTGAGCTATACTTCTTCTTCCTTCCTTTCTCTCTCTCTCTCTCTCTCTCTCTCTCTCTCTCTCTCTCTCTCTTTTTTTTTCTTGAGACAGGATCTCACTATATATGTAGCCCTGGCTGGCCTGGATCTCTCTCTCTGTGTAGACTAGGTTGGTCTCAAACTCATAGAGATCCTCTATCTCCTGAGTGCTGGGATTAAAGGCATACACCATCATGCCCAGCATTTCTTCCTAGTTTTTTAAAAATAATTTTTGATATTATTTTATGTGTATGGGTTTATTTATTTTATGTGTATGGCTTTGCCTGAATGTATGTCTATGTTCTACATGTGGGCAGTGCCCATGGAGGCCAAAAGAGGGTGTCAGATTCCCCTGGAAGTGGAGTTACAGGCAGCCATGTGGGTCCTGGGAATCAAACTTAGGTCCTCTGGAAGAGCCGTCAATCCTTTTAAGAGCTGAACTATCCCTCTAACCCTTCTTTCTTTGTTTTGAGACAAGATCTGAATATGTGGCCCAGGCTGACCTCAATTTTGTGAACCTCTTGCCTCAGTCTCCCTAGGCTAGAATTACAGGGTACCGTGTACCAACCCCAACAACTAAGACATAAAGTTTTTCATTCACTAAAAATATTTACTATTGTCGGGGTGGAGTGTGCCGTGACATGTATGTGGCGGTCAGAGGACAACTTTGTGGAATTATTCTCGCCTTCTGCCTTTATGTAGGTTCTGGGTCTTGAACTGATTTTGTCAGGCTTGCAAGGCAGGCACTTTACCTGCTGAGTCATCTTTAAGCCCCCCCCCCCCCCCCCACCCCCCCCCCCCCCCCCCCCCCCCCCCCCCGTTTTTTCTTTGAGCAAGGGTCTCATGTAGCTCATGCTGGCCTTGAATTCTATATGTAGCCAAGGATAGCCTTTGAACTCCTTATTCTCTTGCTTCTGCTTCCTAAGTGCTGTGATTATAGGTGACAATCATTGTGCCTAGCCCCCACCCCTTATGACAGCATTGTCAGGTATGAACTGCACCCTGTTTCACAATCAAGTTTTCCTGGGGGCAGCCTTAGGGCTCTATTTTACAGCCCGCCTCCACCTCTGGGCAGTCTCTCTGAGCTGTGCTGTGGACAGTGGTGCACTTCCTCCCAGCTGGCCCTGTTGCCTAAGGAGCAGGGTGCTGAGACAGGACAGAGGTCTCTGAGATTGTCTGTTGCCTCTTCCAATGCGGAGCTCCCTTCCTGTGAATGAGCTGGGGCTGGGACCATGGGCTTCTCAGCCTGCTGGGCCTGACGTAGAACCTCCATCTGGTCTGTCGGGGACAGGAGAGAGCAGAAAGCCCCTGGTTAGTCCATTACTCGACCGAATCCAGCCTCTGCCCTGTGGAGTTGGTGGGAGACTGAGTCATGCTGAGAACCTGCTCTTCCGAGGCGGACACTTTAACTTTGACAGGGAGGTGAAGTTCTGCAGGGAACTGAGGCGGCAAGAGCCTCCGCTCTGGACATGTGCCCACAGTGCTGGAGACTTGCAGGTTCTACTCGGTCTCCACGTTGGTACCAAGATTTGCTAGATTTTCTTCTGTAACGATCTCATTTTCTCTGACTTAGTATCACTTCCGGAGACTAAGATGGTTGTGTAAGTTTTCGTCTAGTCTATCTGTTTCTGGGGAAAGCCCATAGGTCTCCTCATTTTATATACATACTCTAGAAGAGAGTCAAGTTTTGGAACTCACAAGTTTTTACTGTGATGAGGGATGGCATGATTTTCCCATCTCAGGACCTTGGGAGAGTCTGCAGAGAAGACTGAATGGGCAACTCTAGAGCTGCCTGCCTTATAATTCCTCTGCTGGGTATGAGGCCCTCGGAGATAAAGGCTTATGGTCCTGACTTCATATTTATGTCACCTCAAAGCTAGAGATGGCACAGTGTGTAGGTGTGTGATGGCCTGTTCTCCTTCTCTGCAGGTACTTGTGGCCCACACAACCTTCATGTGGAAAGTAGAACGTGTGTGTGGCAAAGGAGTGGCTGTCTTGTGGGCCACAGAATCAAGCACTGTTTGAGTGGACGGACACATAGCTCTGTGCTCTGATCCTCTAGCATTGGTCATGTCCATGCCCACTGAGGGCACCCCACCGCCCCTAAGTGGTACCCCCCATCCCAGTTCCAGCCTACTTCCGACATGCAGAGCCTGGTTTCTCCCTCAAAAGGCCTGGGGGCCTCAGCCGGAGCCTTCCACCTCGGCCCCCTGCCAAGGGCAGCATCCCCGTCAGCCGTCTCTTCCCTCCTCGGACTCCAGGCTGGCACCAGCCCCAGCCCCGGAGGGTGTCATTCCTGGGTGAGACCTCAGAGACCCTGCAGAGTCCTGGATATGACCCAAGCCGGCCAGAGTCCTTCTTTCAGCAGAACTTCCAGAGGCTTAGCCGCCTAGGTCATGGCTCCTACGGAGAGGTCTTCAAGGTAAATGAAGGGTGGTTTCCTAGGCTCCTCTGGGGAACCTCTTTGCCTTGGTGGGATAGTGTCCTAGGTATCCTCCTGCCCTTTATTCTTTGACAGCTTGCCTCTCTAGGGCTTGCAGCCACCTCCCACCCCCACCTCCCACTCCCCACCTCCCACTCCCCAGCTCCCACTCCCCACCTCCCACCCCCATCTCCCACTTCCCACCCCCACGTCAAGCGCCTCGAACGCATGCCTCGCGCACACTGGCACCTTGTTCAGATCCTGGTACAGCCTGCAGCAGATCTCTGTTGCCACTCCTCTGCTTGGAGATGGCTGTGCTGAGATCCATGACTGGTTCTGTCTGGCCTGGAACTGACCCCAATGCCTACCTTTTCCCCTAGCTTAGCAGGCTCAAAAGCTGTACCCCTTCCCATCATAATTTTGTTTTCTTTAATATGGTATTAATTTTTCAATCATTTATATGTCTTCTAAAACAGTAGTTTTCCTTTACACAAACACTATTTGAAAGCAATTTTCTTTAAATACAAACAGCACAGGCTCTTGGATCATCTCTCCTCTCTGGAGGAAAGCTGGGCACAACAGAGCATACTGCCCTGTTGTTTTGGGACTAAATCTTTCTCTTAGCAATGGGCCCTGGTCAGAGGCATAGTCTGCCCCATCTCTGTTGCTGGGTCTCCAGTGCGTTCTCCTGCAATGGACGTGTCCAGGTCATTATCATTGTTTTAGAGGTCTAAGACTGACGTGTATTCCCCTGCATGGTGAAATCTTAACAATCAGCATCCTCTGATTGTCTCCCATCCTGCCTCTGGGCAACACCTCCCTTCCAGGTGCGCTCCAAGGAAGATGGCCGACTCTATGCTGTTAAGCGCTCCATGTCACCATTCCGAGGCCCCAAAGACCGGACTCGCAAGCTGGCTGAGGTAGGCGGCCACGAGAAGGTGGGGCAGCACCCACACTGCGTGAGACTGGAGCAGGCCTGGGAGGAGGGCGGCATCCTGTACCTGCAGACCGAGCTCTGTGGGCCCAGCCTGCAGCAGCACTGTGAAGCCTGGGGGGCCAGCCTGCCAGAGGCCCAGGTCTGGGGCTACTTGCGGGACACTCTTCTGGCTCTGGACCACCTACATAGTCAAGGCCTAGTTCACCTTGATGTCAAGCCTGCCAACATCTTCTTGGGGCCCCGGGGCCGCTGCAAGCTGGGTGACTTTGGACTACTGGTGGACCTGGGTTCAGCTGGCGCTGGTGAGGCTCAGGAGGGAGACCCTCGCTACATGGCCCCAGAACTGCTGCAGGGCTCCTACGGGACAGCCGCAGATGTGTTCAGGTGAGGCTGGGATGTGGAGAGGTCCTGAAGGAGGCTCTTATTGGGGACTGATCAGCAGAAAGGGAGGGACCGCCCAAAGGAAGAGCTCTTTCCTGGTACTAGGGTAGGAGGGCATTCAGGCCTGGGAGGTGTTGGCCCTGCCCACTAGCTGAGGGGTCTCCAGAGTAAGCAGCAAACTCTCTAGAGGCCCCTTTACATTGTAGGCCAGACATCTCCTTGGCTAGCAGCTCTCTGGTTAGGCTCCATCACAGGGAGAGTAGGGTGCAGTGAGGCTGAGGAACTCGTCAAGTCCACAGTTAGCATCTGGAACTGTACGCAGGCCAGGCTTCTGAGTCCACACTGGCTCCTACTGCCTTGCCTTGGTTGTATTCTGTTTATTCCCACAGAATGATGATGCCAAACCTAATCATCATGGAAAGTAATTTACATGCCAGTGAGGTTCTGACGGACCTCCATTGCAACATGCTTAAGTGGGGGTCTCTGCTTCACAGCAAGGCCTCCATCTTGACTAGTGCTTACTGGCCTCCTCAAAGCTCCTTGCCCCTCTCCCACCAACTTCATGGTTTATGGGGGAAGAGAGCAGCCCTTTCCTACCAAGATGCTGCCTAGGACTGGGATCTGTGTCACAAAGTGGACTTTGCCTCTCCTTTTCTTCGTGCCCTGTCCTTCTTAGTCTGGGTCTCACCATCTTGGAAGTGGCCTGCAACATGGAGCTGCCCCATGGTGGGGAGGGCTGGCAGCAGCTGCGCCAGGGATACTTGCCCCCCGAGTTCACTGCTGGTGAGTGGGGGCTCAGGAAAAGAGGCAACTACTATCAGCTTCTCTGGTAAGGGGTGGCTAGTAGTAGGGGCACCATTGAGCTGAGGGCCCAGTCAATAAATACCCTGGCTCCTGACGTGCATGACTCTGCCTCATGGGCAGGTCTGTCTTCTGAGCTGCGCTCTGTCCTCACAATGATGTTGGAGCCTGACCCCCAGCTTCGAGCCACAGCTAAGGCCCTGCTGGCCCTGCCCATGCTGAGGCAACCTCGTCCCTGGAACGTTCTGTGGTATATGGCTGCAGAAGCCCTGAGTCGAGGTTGGGCCCTGTGGCAGGTAAGCCTCTGTGGTGGTCTACTCCAACTGTTCCTTGCCCAGGGGACCTACCTAGTCTGAATTTACTATATAGACTAGGTTGTGCTTGTTCTTCTGTCTTCCTACCTCAGCCTCCAAGTGCTGTGATTTTTGTCACAGGCTTGAGTTCTGAGGCCCCCTTTCCCCTCAGGCACTGATCACTCTGCTATGCTGGCTCTGGCATGGTCTGGCTCATCCTGCCAGCTGGCTGCAGCCTCCGGGCCCACCAGCCACACCGCCTGGCTCTCCACCTTGCAGCCCCCTCCTGGACAGCAGCCTCTCCAGCAGCTGGGATGACGACAGCATAGGGTGGGTGAGAGTCTAGGACGTGGGGGTGGGGGTGTGCGCGCATCACGTGGTCAGTGACAGCATAGGGTGGGTGAGAGTCTAGGACGTGGGGGTGTGTGGGTGTGTGCGCGCATCACGTGGTCAGTGACAGCATAGGGTGGGTGAGAGTCTAGGACGTGGGGGTGTGTGGGTGTGTGCGCGCATCACGTGGTCAGTGACAGCATAGGGTGGGTGAGAGTCTAGGACGTGGGGGTGTGTGGGTGGGGGGTGTGCATCACGTGGTCAGTGACAGCATAGGGTGGGTGAGAGTCTAGGACGTGGGGGTGTGTGGGTGGGTGTGTGCATCACGTGGTCAGTGACAGCATAGGGTGGGTGAGAGTCTAGGACGTGGGGGTGGGGGTGTGTGTGTGCATCACGTGGTCAGTGACAGCATAGGGTGGGTGAGAGTCTAGGACGTGGGGGTGTGTGGGTGGGTGTGTGCATCACGTGGTCAGTGACAGCATAGGGTGGGTGAGAGTCTAGGACGTGGGGGTGGGGGTGTGTGTGTGCATCACGTGGTCAGTGACAGCATAGGGTGGGTGAGAGTCTAGGACGTGGGGTGGGGGGTGTGCATCACGTGGTCAGTGACAGCATAGGGTGGGTGAGAGTCTAGGACGTGGGGGTGTGTGGGTGGGTGTGTGCATCACGTGGTCAGTGACAGCATAGGGTGGGTGAGAGTCTAGGACGTGGGGGTGGGGGTGTGTGCGCGCATCACGTGGTCAGTGACAGCATAGGGTGGGTGAGAGTCTAGGACATGGGGGTGGGGGTGTGTGCGCGCATCACGTGGTCAGTGACAGCATAGGGTGGGTGAGAGTCTAGGACACGGGGTGGGTGTGTGCATCACGTGGTCAGTGACAGCATAGGGTGGGTGAGAGTCTAGGACGTGGGGGTGGGGGTGTGTGCGCGCATCACGTGGTCAGTGACAGCATAGGGTGGGTGAGAGTCTAGGACGTGGGGGTGGGTGTGTGTGTGCACATCACGTGGTCAGTGACAGCATAGGGTGGGTGAGAGTCTAGGACGTGGGGGTGGGGGTGTGTGTGTGCACATCACGTGGTCAGTGACAGCATAGGGTGGGTGAGAGTCTAGGACGTGGGGGTGGGGGGGTGCATCATGTGGTCAGTGCCACATGGCAGGCATCAGGCTCCATGGAGAGGAGGGTGGATGGGCCTCTGTCATACCCAGGGGATGAGGACTGGCTGTGTGGGTGTGGCTCATGGTCTGTGTGGGCAATTATGACGTCCCGCACAGCTTTGCCAGTCATTAGTGCAGGATTATAGCCCCCACCTCTGTAGAGGTTGTCCCTATTCAGGGACAAAGTGCTGTCCTTCCCTGGGTGGATACTTCTAAGAACCTGCTAAGTCCCTATCCTGAGAGGATTCCCTTTGTCCCAGGTGTCTGCTAGCCAAGGGAAAGTGTAATTAAGAAATTGCTCCGGGCTGGAGAGATGGCTCAGAGGTTAAGAACACTGGCTGTTCTTCCATAGGTCCTGAGTTCAATTCCCAGCACCCATATGGTGGTTCACAACCATCTGTAATGAGATCTGGCTCCCTCTTCTGGCCTGCAGGGATACATGCAAACAGAACACTGTATACATAATAAGTAAATAAATCTTTAAAAAAAAAAAAAAAAAAAAAAAAAGAAATTGCTCCATAGCCGGGCGGTGGTGGCGCATGCCTTTAATCCCAGCACTCGGGAGGCAGAGCAAGGCGGATCGCTGTGAGTTTGAGGCCAGCCTGGGCTACCAAGTGAGTTCCAGGAAAGGCGCAAAGCTACACAGAGAAACCCTGTCTTGAAAAACCAAAAAAAAAAAAAGAAATTGCTCCATGGAAGAACCACATTCTCTCAGGATCCCTCCCTTTAAGTAGGATTTCCCTCACTCTGAAGGGTCTCTGTAACAGCAAAATACTAGAAAAGCCTCATTTACCAAAACTTGACTTCCAGCTCAGATGAATCTGAAAAGGGACAGAGATGCCCCTGAACATGGTCAGATAGGAAGAATTGACAGTTATCACTGTGTGTTTATTGTTTTAGTCATGGCCTACCTTCACCAAGCAGGGGCCTGGAACCAAGCAGGATCAGAGCTGGTTTGGTCCTAACCCTTCTCAACCCTCAACACCCTGTTTGTCCTGTCCTCTCTCTGTAGTCCCTCGCTCTCCCCAGAGACCATCTTGTCCCGGATCACTAGGAGAACCTCTACCCCTCGAGGCAGGTACACACCAAGGTGAGGAGGTGAGCAAGCCCAGGGCCTTGGGCTGTTGGGCACAGTCGGCTTTGGGATCCAGAGTCTCGTTCCTTTTTCTTTCCTCCCCAAGGGATGCCCTGGACCTAACTGACATGGACTCGGAGCCTCCTAGAGGTCCCTGCCCTACCTTTGAGCCACGGAACCTCCTCAGCCTATTTGAGGACTCACTTGACCCAGCCTAAGCCAGAGGCCCAGTCTTGGTGCTTTTAAACCTCTGACCCTCTTTCCTACCTCTCCCCTGGAAACTTCTGTATCTAATAAAAAGTAATGAATCTTGGGAGCACCCAAGGTTGCTCATGTGGCAACATAGCGCTTCTTGTCCCTTTATTGATTGCCTAAGGTCTTAGGCCTCTGGGATGATCTGGCCATGAGGCCATACTCTGCTAGAGCGTGGCCTTTGGCCAGCAGGTTGAAGCCACACACTGTATAAGAGATTTCCTGAGCAGACGTGTCTCTGATGGGCAGATCAGTCAGACAGACCATGGCACTGAAAGTGAGTCCTTGGTCCAGAGGGGTCTGAATCCAAAGCCGCCATCCCACACCTGTGCTGCTGCTTAGGGAAAGCAGCAGCTCCTCTCATGTCTCTTGGCCAGATGATACAAGCAGGACCAATGCCCACTTGGTCCTGAGAGAAGGGCCTGGTCCCACTGCCGTGAGTCCTGACTTCAGGAATGACAGGAACGGTAGAATTCTGGCTGCTGAGAGGTTTAGCATGCAGGGCAGAAAGATGGAGGTCAGGAAGCGGGGCAGAGAGACTAGTCCAAGAATCCAGGAGGTGTCTTCTGGGAGTGGCAAGATTCAGGTAGTGGTTCTAGGCTGGAGGCATGGTAAGTTGGCAGGCCTCAACTCTCAGACATGAATTCAGAGACTCTCACAGGTCAAACAGGGTAAATTCAAGCTCAAAGAATGATTTCCGTCTAGCTGACAGTACCCTGGAGGGAAGTTGGCAGGGAGAGGGGTTGCTGGAATTTGAAGGCCTGAGTGCAAGAAGTGGTTAATCCACAGGGAAGAATGAAGAGCCGTCTCCCAGAGAGGAAGTCCCATGTGCTGGTTCTTCCAGGGAACCAGCCCCTTGCAGACCAGCAAAGGAGGGAAGGTGGTGTTTTTTTGTCTCAGGAAGCTGTGGGCAGGCTGGTTTGGCAGCTAGGAGACAGCTCAGTCTGGGGGACAGGAGTGGCGAGCAGCCCAGAGCAGGTCAGGTACAACACCAGCATGTAGCTGGAGAATGGAACCTACACTGAGCAGGTGCATGATCTGGTGGGAGTTGCCCCAGTAGTCAAAGCGGCCAGGCCCCCAACGCTCTGGTAGACGTGCCACATTCACCAGCCCTCCAAGCAGTGCCAATGCATCCATGCGCAGGTAGCAGGGCAGGGAGCCTGGAGCCCCTGAGCCCAGCCCTACTCCACGGGCCCCAAACACCAGCAGGCGGGCCCCAGCTTGCCAACCAAAGGCTCGAAGCCGGGCACTGGTGGAGGGGGCAGTGAGGGCTCTCCAGCCAGCCACACCTGACAGTGCAGTGTAACCCATCAGGGCAGCTGGACGAAGCCAGGGTCTGCAAGCCAGAGTGCAGTGGATGATGGGCAGGGCTCCTGCAGAGAGAGAGAGAGCAGAGGAAAAAAAATATCAGTCCAAGCTAGCTGATTTTCCCTACCCAGGGTTCCTACCAGTAGCCCTTGCCTCCACCTTCCTGGGGCCCTGGCTCACCAAGAGTGTTGACAAGGCAGACTCCACACATATCCAGGGCAAGGAGCCGGGTGTACACAGGACTGCCTCCTTGGTGGCACATGAAGAGGTGATACAGCACAGAAGCTGCAGGGGGGGCCAGGCAGGCCACACAGTGTGTACCTCCCAGCCAGCCATCCTTGCCCAACTGACCCCAGGGCATGGTCATTGGCACCAGCACCAGGAAGCCCAGCAGGGCTAGCCCTAGAAGGGAAGGAGAGTTACCCATCAGACACACTCAGCATAAAGGAAAACATCCCAAAGGTATCAGTTGGAGCCAGGAAGATAGCTCATAGGTAAGGCTGCTAAGTCTGACAGTCAGTTTGATCCTGGATTCCACATGGTAGAAGAGAATCAATTCTCACAAGTTGTCTTCTGACTTCCACATGCCTTGGCAAATGTACACCCACCCACCCACACATGCACTAAGTTAATACATAAATATAAAAAATGTAAAGTGACCTGACTATCAAAAACACAAGAAAGACAGAGCAGGCAGAGTTCAGTGTTGCTGCCAGCCCACACACAAGCAGGTCTGTGGGTCTCAAACTTTCAGAAGTGTTACTGTCAGGGATCACTGCAGGTCTAGATGTAGAGACAATGAGCCACTTTGCAGGTGTGGAAACAGGCTTGGAGTAAGCCTGTCCCAGCTGAGCCCAGCAACTAGGCAAAGGATAGAGGATGGTGAACCAGGGCAGACTAACTTCTGAGCTATCCTGGCTGAAGCTAAAGCCACAGCTCCTCTTTGCCACACAGGAGGCCAGACCAGATCTGCCTGTCTGTCCCGGAGTGTCTGCAGAAGCCTGGAGAAGCATGACCTCAGCCTGAGTTCTGATTAGGACAGGAGGGACATACTAGACTCAGGGTTACTTAACATTGTCAAATGTTGGCTTTGGGTCTTTTTGTTTTCCATAAAGGAAGAAGGCCAAGAAAGGCCAGAATGAAAAGAAGGGACTGAAAGAAGCTTATCCTATCTCCACTGGGGGTGTTTTCAGGAGCTCTGTTCCTTCCGGTGCTGCCCTTTCTTGGAGATTCCCATCCTTCCCCACGGGCAGTTGGCATTGCTCTAATAGAGGACAAATGCAGGCATCAGCCCCACTCTTGATGGGGGTCTGACAAAACAATAGCCTTCTCCTCCTTTAGAGAAAAGCACAAGTCTAAACCTAGCTGGCCCTAGTCCCCTCTCCCAGCTGGGGCAGCTCAAGGACAGGCCAGGGCTGTGTCAGCAGAGCTCTAGGGGCCGCAAGAGGGAGGGGGGGACGGGCCACCAGGCGGAGCCCCAGGGTACTGTTATGGTGGTGGGGACACTAGGCTACCACGAGGAGGGGCTTGGGCAAGGCAGGGGCGGTCTTCTTCTTTCTGACTCCTCCTAGCCAGTGAACGCCCATCTCCAGGACGAGGGGGAGGGTGCCCAGGGCACAGGATTACCAAGGGGGATACTAGGATCCTTACCCCTAGAGCTCAACGGGATTAAGCTGGCTCCCACTCTGCTTCCCTCTCCTGCCTTGGGGCACTGCTGGAAAAGCAGAAGCTGGCAACGAAGCTTGGGACAATGGCAGCTTTGTCACCGCGGCGCCTGACCCAACCAGGGCAGGGGCAGCCTAGGACTCAGGCTGGGGGGCTGCTGCGCTCCCAGACAAGGCGGCCACGAGTACGGGAAGCATGAAGCATGAGGTAGCCGCCCACCTACCGTGTGTGTAGATGTTGCCCAGCTCGTTGTGCAGGTAGAAGAGGCTGCGCAGGCAGCCCGAGCCGCTGCTGGCCGGCCGGTAGCCCGTCAATACGAACTTATTGAACTGCAGGTGCGGTGGCGAGCTAGCCCAGTCCAGCAGACGCGGCCCGGACAGGAACGCCATGGCCTCACGCACTGCGGCCGGCCTGCGACCCTCTGTTCCCAGGCTTCCCCCTCAGTGGAGCCGCAGCGCTGAGAAGCTCATCCCGATTCACCTCCGGGCTGTCCGGTCGTCCTGCGTGGAGTCAGCCGGGGGTCCGGGCCCTCGTCCCTCACCCGCTGCGCACGCGCGAGCTCGACGCCCCCGTAAGGGAAAGGAAGCTGGCGACCCGGCTGCCGCTGGAGCTCAGCGCGTCCAGTTCCACCGTGGCAGAGCACCGCAGGGAGAGATCCCGTTGGCCGCAGCGGCGGACGGGCGTCTAGCCGCAGCCCTGAGGACGGGCGCGGCCGGACGCTGGAGGGGACGCCAGGCTCCACCCCGGCTCCTCGCCCCCGCCACCCTGCCCATGTTTCGCGCGCTGGATTCCTGACGTTCGCGTTGCAAGGACCAATGGGCGCTGCGGGCGGGGATGCTCCGCCCCGAGACCGCCCAGGCCTTCTCTTTTTAACATATGCGGTTCCAGCCTTCTTTGCATGGGGTGCCTGTTGGCTTGGGACGCGATGTTCTGGGTTGGGCTCCTCTACTGGAGTGGCCTGGCACCTGGCGTCTACCAACATTTCATACCCCAGCTTTCTTAGTGACCTCCAGGTTGCCGCATGTTTGGATACCCACCTCGGGTACACAGCCTGGCTACCCAGGCCTAAGCTCACAGTCAGACTCTGTCCAAGGTGCTGCTGGCTAAGGCCCCTTCAGATGAGTCCGGCGCAATGCTGGCGCGCACCCACTTTGAAGGTATACCTCCATTGGCCGGGTACCCAAGCGTCTAAGATGTGTGACGCACCTAGAGCCCTTGGCGAGACCCAGCCCTTCCGGCCAGGCTTCTTCGAGCTTGGGTTCCACCCAAATCGCTCCCTAATATCGCTCACAAGGCACACCCTCGGCCGGGCCCAGTACAGGCAAGGAACGGGCAAAGGCAGGAGGCCAGGGGAAAAAGGTCGGTTTTCTACTCTTGCAGGTACCAGAAAGAAATTTCTTCCGCATTAAACTACCCACAACCAGCTTCCACTTCCTCTCTCACAAGAAAGCTCACCGTGTGAAACGCCCAGCATCTCACCTGCCCAACAACACCCTTATTAACATAGCTCCTCCCTCACACAAAGAACTTGCTGACGCCTTTACCAAAATAGGCCCTTTATTTTAAGTCTATGGTCAGTCTTTAGATCACTTTTGTTGACCCATAACCTTTCACTGAGGGCAGCAGTCCAGGACCACCCCCAAAAGAGGCGCAAAGAACCCTGAAACCAGACACCACCCCTCACATCAAGGTCCAAGGATTAGGGTGTTGGATTCCTTTTGCCCTTTGGCTTCAACCATTTGGACCCCAAGGGTCAGACCAAGTTTCCAAATAGCACTGGATGCTTCCTGTCCGATTTTCTGGTCTCCCTAAGATGACCAGAGACCGAGCTGCCTTTAAAGGGGCACAAGGAAGAGGTAGGGTGCTGCATAATATCTCGGGTGTCCATCTCGCCGGCAGAAGTTGTGACGGACCCCCGGCATCTGGGGTCAGAGAGCAGAGATGAGAGAGCGCAAGGAGCTCTGGCTGGAAGCACTCAGGGGCCGGTAGCCCGCGGCAGGACCCTCAGCCTGAGAGTCCCCTGGGGGACAGGGCAGGGCCACCCCTCGGGGTCGGCGGTACCACACAGCCCAGCTTCTCCCGGGGCCCCGGGAAGGTCCCAAGGCCAGAGACCCTT